GACAATAACCCAAAACAAGCAGCAACAACAAATAAAACAAACAAAAGTTGAGTTATTTTTTGTATATGGGCTGAGTTAATAGTCTATCTTCATCCTTTTACATGTGGATATCCCGTTATCTGAGAACCATTTGTTGAAGAGACTATTCCTTTCCCATTGAATGGTTTTCACGTCCTTGTCAAAAATCAATTGACCATACATGACGGATTTATTTCTGGACTCTCAATTGTATCCCACTGATATGCATGTCTATCTTTATGGCAGTATCACTCTGTTTTGATACTCTAACCTTCTAAGTTTTGAAATCAAGAAGTGTGACTCCTACAACTGTTTTCCTTCTTTTTAAAGATTATTTTGGCTATTAGGGTCTCTTGCAATTCAATGTTAATTTTAGGATCAGCTTTTACATTTCAGCCAAAAAGACTTGGGATTTTAATGGAGATTGCACTGATTCTGTATATCACTTTGGAGAGTACTGCCATCTTAACAAAATGACATCTTCCAATTCATGGATGTGAGATGTCTTTCCATTCATTTAGGTTTTCTTCATGTTCAGCAATGCTTTGTAGTTTTCAGTGTATAAGTCTTGTACCTGTTTGGTTAAATTTATTCCTAAGTATTTTATTCTTTTGATGCTATTGAAAGTGAAATTATTTTCTTAATTTTCTGGAAATGGAATTATTCATTGCTAGTGTACAGTGATACCACTGCTTTTTGCATGTTGATCCTGTATCCTGCCACTGTACTGAGTTTGTTCATTAGTTTTAGTAACTTTCTTGTGGATTCTTTAGGAATTTCTGTATATAGGATCATGTCCTCTATAAACAGAAACAGTTTCACTTATTCCTTTCCAATTTGGATGTCTTTGCTTTTTCTTCCCTGATTGCTTGGACTAGAAGTTCCAGGACAATGTTGAATAGCAATGGTAAAAGTGGCATTCTTATCTGTTCCAGATATTAGTGGGGAAGTTCTGAGTCTTTGATCATTGAATATAGTGTTAGCTGTTGGTTTTTCATAAATGCCCTTTATCAGGTTGAGGATATCCCTTTCTATTTTGTGTTTTAAGTTTTGTTTTTTTCCTCATGAAAATGTGTTGCATTTTTTCAGAAGTGTTTTGTTTTGTTTTGTTTTTGGTATCTATTAGATGATCATGTGGGTGTTTTTTCCTTCATTCTAGTAATATAATGTATTTCATGACTGATTTTCATTTATTGAACCAGCCTTGTTTTCCTAAGATAAATCCCATTTGGTCATGTTTTATAATTCTTTTAACATGCTGCTGGATTCCATTTGCTAGTATTTGGCTGAGAAGTTTTACATCTGTATTCATAAGGGATATCGGTCTATAGTTTTCTATTCTTGTGATGTCTTTGGCTTTGGTAACAATATTAGTGTCATATGAGTTAGAAAGTATTCCCTCCTCTTTTATGTTTAGAAGAGTCTAAGAAAGATTCCTGCTAATTCCTCTTTAAATGGTAGAATTCACCAGGGAAGCTCTTTGGTTCTGGCCTTTTCTGTGTTGGTAGGTTTTTGGTTTCTTATTCAATCTCTGTACTTCTTATAGGTCTGTTCAAATTTTCTATTCTTGAATTTGTTTTGGTAGTTTGTGTGTTTCTAGGAATTTGTCCATTTCATCTAGGTTTCTAATTTGTTGGCATATAATTGTTCATAGCTATTCTCTTATAATACTTTTTATTTCTATAAGGTCAGTGGTAAATGTCCCAAACTCATTCCAGATTTTAGTTATTTGAATCTTTCTTTTTTTCTTGAACAATCTATTTAAAAGTTTGTCAATTTCATTGATCCTTCCAAAGAACCAACTTTTTGTTTCATTTGTTTTTTTCTATTTTTTCCCTCTTCCTTCTCTATTTTGTTTACCTCCATTCTAATTTTTATTTCCTTTCTTTTTCTTGCTTTGGGTTTAACTTTCTCTCCTTTTTCTAATTCCTTAAGGTGGGCTAGTTAGGTTATTCATTTGATATGTTTCTTTTTTTTACTGTAGGCATTTGTAGCTATAAATTTCCCTCTGAGCACTACTTTCACTGAATCCCATTAGTTTTGGTATGTTGTATTTCTGTTTTCATTAATATCAATATATTTTCTAATTTCCCTTGTGATTTTTTTTCTTTGACCCAATGGTTATTTAGTAGTATTATCTGATTTTCACATATGTGTATATTTTGCAAATTTCCTCTGTTACTTATTTCCAATTTCATTCCATTGTGGTCAGAATACATAGTATGATTTCAATCTTTATAAATATATTGAGACTTGTTTTGTGGCCTGACAAATGGTTTATACTGGAGAATCTTTTATGTGCACTTGAGAAGAATATGTAGTGTGCTGTTTTGGGGTTGACTGTTCTATAGATGTTTGTTAGTTCTGCTTGGTTTATAGTGTTGTTTGAGTCTTATATTTCTTTCCTGAGCTTTGATCAAGTCTTTCTATCAATATTTGAAATTGGGGTATTGAAGTCTCCAACTACAGTAGTTGGAGACTACAACTGTATTACAACTGTATTACTACCTCTACCATCCCTCAGTTCTGTCTACTTTTGGCATGTATTTTGGGACTGTGTTGTTAGGTGTATATATAAGGTGTACATATATTTATAATTGGCATAGCTTCTTGATGGATTGACCCTTTTTAAATATTATATAATATCATCTTTTTTAACCTTAACAATTTTTGTCTTAAGGTCTACTTTGATTATTTGGAGAGCCACTTTAGGTCTCAATTAGTTACTGTTTGCATGGAATAGCCTTTTCTATCTTTTTACTTGCAACCAATTCACGTCTTTGAATCTAAAATTAATATCTTGTAGACAACATACATTTGGATATTAAAAAAAAATTATCCATTCTGCCAGTCTCTGCCTGTTAACTGGAGTTAAATCTATTTGCATTTAATATAATTACTTGTAAGGAAGGACTGCTAACATTTTGCTATTTGTTTTCTAATGTCTTATATCTTCCCCCTCATTCCTCCATTGCTGCCTTCTTTTGTTTCACTGATTTCTTCTGTGTGTGTGTGTGTGTAGTGTACCATTTTGATTTCCTTCTCATTTCCTTTTCTGTGTGTTTTTTTAGTTATTTTCTTAGTAGTTGTTCTGGGGATTACAATTAACATATTCACTTATAGCAGTATATTTTGGATTAATACGTACTTAATTTCAACAGTATACAAAATCTTTATTCCTATATAGCTCCACCCCTTATGTTGTTATTGCCACAAATTACATTTTTATACACTGTGTGCCAATGAAGACAGATCCGTATTGTTTTATGCAGTCATCTTTTAAATCCTATATAAGAGGAGTCACAAAATTGTACCTATGTAATTACCTTTAACGTGTGCTTTATTTCTTTGTGTGGATCTCAGTTACCACTGAAGAATTCCTTTAGCATTTCTTGTAGGGAAAACCCCGATCTCAAGTGGAGCATTTAGTCTAAAAGAAGAAGAGAGACATCCTGTGAGGCAGAGTTGATCAGGTAAACATGAGAGTGAATGTATAGGGAGAGTTCAGGGAATTCGTTGCTCAATCACTGGATTTTCTTGATGTCAGGGATTCTAAGTTCACCTGTTCAGGATGCCAACGGAAGTGTGCAGAGTGGGACTGACTGTTTTGAAGGTATTAAGTCGTATCTGAGAACTATGGAAGATTGAACTGAGATGAAGGTAGAACTGCACTCACCTATGCATCTCCCCCAAGTTAGGAATTCTTTCCACCATGCTGGAAAGAAGTTCTTAGAAACGGCTTCCCAAGTTCTTAGAAACGGTAAAGCCTCTAGAGGCTCGCTGCAGTACCCAGCGTGATTTCCGGTCTGCTGGCCCCCAAGGGGGGAGCTCTTCAGGAAAGCGGGTCCCAGCAGGCCTTGCGAGGTGACTTGGCGCTCCCCGTGACGCGTCACACTGCCGTCGGCCCAGTTGGGGTTGGCGTGGTGAGGGCGTCTTC